TCGGCGGTGATCTCGCCGTTAAACAGTTGATCACTAACGGCGATGTCGACGATCTGGACTCGCATTCTCATCAAATACTGTGGCGCCAAAAGGCGGAGTTTTTCCCGACGCCTCTCAAAGGCATTCTTGGCCTTAAAGAGCTGAACGGGTGGTCATCGTTGACGATACCCGATAAGGAGACAATTGTGACGGATTCGGGCAAACTGTTGGCTTTGGATCAATTGCTGAACGAGTTGAAGGCCGACGGGCATCGAGTGCTGATATACTCGCAAATGACACGAATGATCGATCTATTGGAGGAGTATATGTGGCACCGGAAGCACACATACATACGTCTGGACGGCTCGTCAAAGATCGCCGACCGGCGCGATATGGTCGCCGACTTCCAGAACCGTTCGGACATTTTCGTATTCCTCTTGAGTACCCGCGCGGGCGGTCTGGGCATCAATCTCACGGCCGCCGACACCGTTATCTTCTACGACAGCGACTGGAATCCCACCGTTGACCAGCAGGCGATGGACAGAGCGCACCGATTGGGCCAAACAAAACAGGTGACGGTCTATCGTCTGGTCTGTAAGCGAACCATCGAAGAGCGGATCCTACAGCGGGCGCAGGAGAAGTCAGAGATACAGCGAATGGTGATCAGTGGTCACTCGTTCAGACCCGACACTCTAAAGGCTACGGAAGTGGTGTCGCTATTGCTCGACGACGAAGAGCTCGAGCGACGCTTCAATCAAAGACAGGAAGAGAAGAGACTACAGACTGAGGAGAGCGGCGGCTCCGGTGGTAGCGCTTCGGGACTCACGACACCCGTGAAGGCCAACAAACGTAAACTTAAGTGCAGTCCCAAAGAGGGAGAGACTCCCAAAGTAAGTGTTGGTTTTTGTCGACGATATCTGTCATATGATTTGTTTAATTAATTGTTTTGTCTTTACGTCTGGTTTTTGCAGAGAAAATACACCAAAAGATTGATTTCAGACAACGAAACCGAGAGCTTATCCAAAGAGATATCTCCAATCGGTGGTGATTTGGACTCATTTAACGATAACGATTCGTTCCCTACCAGTCCTTTCAGCGAAGTATGTGTTGTGTTGACATTTTTAGCACTCATTTAGTGAACAATTAAAACAATTGAAACCATAATTAACTCCAATGCAAACCTCAATAGCAATCGTATCGATCGTTAACCAATTTGAACGAAGACGAGAGCAATGACGGCGCTCTGATGGTCGACGACCGAAGCAGTCCCACCTCTTCCACGTCCGATCTGCACAGTCCGTCCAGTTCTGGCGCCCGTCGCGGCCGAG